CATATATAATGTAGATTTTAGGATTAAATCTGTTCCAACAAAAGTATTTTCAGCAAAAACGTATTAAAAATAGTTCAATATTTAATACAAATCTTCACACATGGTTTTCTTAATCTATGAAGATATTCAGCTATTACAAAGAAATAGGTACAGTATGCCAATCTACAAAAGGTAGGAGAATAAATAAAATACAAAACTAAAAAAAGAAGAAGAAAAAAAGTTTCGTTTACATGTTTGAGTTGCATGAAAGGTTCACATATCTCATATATTGGAAGAATCCCTCCCAAAAGAATGGGGGTGGGGTTACGATCAGAGAATTATTAACATTTTTAATGAAAGAAAACCAAATCTACTTAAAATGGTCTTGACATTCAGATTTGTCAGATACTCACACATTAATGTGGAAATGGGTTGCAAGGGATTTATTAAAGAAGATATGCCAAACAGACATAGCTTCAAAACCCTTTGGGATTTGTTTTTAGTGATAAAAATCAGACTTGAAAATGGAAAATTGAGTAAAAATATATCTGCCCATCTTAGCTACTGTATTTTATCAATGTACAGATTGTGGTTTTATAAAATGTCATCTATGTGACAGAAAAATGACAAATTTCCCCAAGAAACAAGCAGCAAAAAGCAAAACTTCTTATTCCCACTGTTGCTATTTTTTAACCAAGTCACAGATTCATAATTATGTTAAACATACTTTCATGTGAACTTTGGTTGCAATGTTAAATTTAAAGTAATGTATGCAGAACAAATTGCTTGATTACCTCTATGGGACTCTGATGTAAGATACACAGCCTTCATGTGTCTGGAAAAAAAGAATGTAGCTAAGTCTATCATATTCTGATAATATTCATTTCTCTTGATCATTAAAACAAAACAAAAAAACCACATTCATTTGTAACCCAATTTCCACAGATGATGTTCAGCTCTTTGAACTAAGTTTCCAGTTTTTATCTATTACTGAGAAATGCATGAACCTGCCTTGGATCAGATATTTATACTTATATCCACATATATGTGTCCATACAACCCCCCCCCCCACACACACACACACAGGGTAGACATAAGGTAGGTCAGATCAGGAAACAGGTACCACAATGACTACCGGAACTCTACTTAATTGTTGTAGGGAATAATAACAGGACTTTGAAAGTTTGGCAGAGTTTCCCTTTGCCCCCTCTTATACCAGTTGTAATCAAAGTGGGGTTATGCTGAATTTCTTTCTCAGTCCCTCTTCCTTCCCAAAATTAAGTAGACTTAATTAAGTGCAATAATGGTTCTTGCATTCCTTCTTTAAGGTTATCTCTGTACTCCTCTACACTTCGTGATACGTTAGCATGATGATACCAAGATGATCAGCAGAATATTCTCCCTCTAATGTTAAGAATTCTGTTCTTCCTTTTTCCTCTGTTCTCTAGGGTGTTTCTTTCATTATTTTCTATTCCCTGGGCTTCAAGAAAACTGGCAGTGGTCTATATAGCCTTGACTTTTCTCTTTTCTTGAAATCTATTCCCATATGGCCATGCTGACAAATGAATATAATGCAGTTTGGGAGAACTGACAACCTCCTTGAACACCTTTGGCAGAGGTTAGAGACCTCGTGGCAGTAACAGCCTGTAGTTATGGTTGGGAGGAGCCTGAGGACCACAGAGAGTAGGATAATAAGGCCACAGAATAAGGCCTAATTCCTAGTGATAACACAGACAAATGCTTGTCATCTTACATGACTTCAGTAATAACTTATAGCTGTCCCAAGAATATTTAAGTATTTTATTTTTTATCCCATCCATCCACCTTAGTTACTGCTTGATGATCATCATCTCAAATAAAGTCATCCTTCATTTGGTTCAGGCCTGCTTAATTAATGTTTCATGCATTCTATTCCTGGAGGAACCTTCTACAGTAAGAACTTCTTTACTTCTTCAGCAGGTTGCCCACCTTTATCTAGCCCTAAGTCCAAGAAAACAAAACTATCTATGGCCTTCACTTCTTTGCCATCAGCTATAGGTTCATTAAGAAGACAAGTTGACATTACCTTTGTTTCTTAAAATTTAACATTAACCCTGATTTTCCCTTTCCAGTTTTACTTTCATTATGGGCTCTTCTATGTCTTCTTTACTTTTGACTAACAAGAAGGTAGAGTTCTGAGTGCTCTCTGAGTTGGTTGTTTGCAGACATTTCATTACTAGCACTGATGA